GAATAGAGTATCTTGCTATCCACCACATGGTTCCACCACTTTCCAAATAATCACACCAACCAGAACATCAGTTTTCTCCACTCCTAACTTGGTTAAGTGAGTCAATCTCATTAAAAACACTCCAATAGTTCCAATTCCTCTGCTGTTCCTTACCCACACATGCTAGGGCCACCTTCCAATCAGATTCAATCACTAAGTTCTTCATTTTGACTCATGGCATTTCCACAAACAACTATGAAACATATTTAATAGCCATAAGCTTTGCATATTTCGACTCATGAACTTCAACTGCCTTTAAAAAATAGTCCTACTATAGCACTGCTCTCATCTCATAGAACCCCACCATATGCACCCAGTTAATCCCTATTTGCCTCTAACCGATCCACAGCAAAGATAGCATATTCTCATAGAAACATTCTCGCACTCCAACTAGACCAGCCACTGAGATAGCATATTCGCACACATCAAAATCATTAAGCAACATAAACATTCTCTATTGAAAAATGTGCAACACAAAGTAACTAAAAAACTGGAACCAAAAGCATAGCTGTTTCAGCACATGCTCATGAAGGACAACACACAAACCCCCAAGGCCCCAAAGCAGATCCAATTGTAGAAAATAAGCAAAGCCCCAAAGTAGTAGCCAAAAATAAACAAAAACGAAGAGCAAACCACAGTAAGCAAAGATCAAACAGCACAAACCTCAAAAGAAGGAAAGAAAGTTCTGGAACAGGCAAAGAAGAAGAAAAATATAGAAACAGACCTTAGGAATCCAAAGCCAAATAAGATGGAGTCTCGGCAAAGGAGGAAAAAACTCTGATGAAAATCGACTGATAGACAACAAAGTGCAGATGTTGATGAGGAGCGAAACGGAGATCCTTCAAAAACAGCACAGCTAACGAAGATTTTCGGCAATGGCAGAAAAGAAAACAATTTTGGGAAGGATGAGTGAGCCAGCAAATGGGTATCGCCCTCTGCTCTCAGCACAAGAATCCTTGGATGAATATTACACCTTTCGAAGAGAAAGAGGCAGAGCGAAATCCATTCTTATGGGCAAGGCACAATAGCGAGCGAAACGGGATGCTTCACAGCAGGCAGCACAGAAAGAAGAGTAGATCCAATGGGAGGAAGCAAAGAGAAATTTAGGAAAGTGAACCACTGGTTAGGGATTAGAATAATTTAGAAGGGTTTAAATTTTTTTAGGTCATTAAACTTTGTAACTGATTTCCAACAGATAAGTTTTCATTGAAAAATTTCAATGAAAATCCATTGAAAATTTTGTCAGAAAAGTTGGTGGGAGAATTTTCTTTTTTGTTGAAAAAATCTCCAACGGAAATCCTCTGTTAGTATATTTCTATTGAAAATCCGTCGAAAATCTATCAAAAATAATCACAACAATTTTTATTGGAATTCCGTTAGAAATCCATAAGAAATTTCTAAGGAAATTTTTTTCATCGAATAAAACCTATTTTCTTGTGGTGCATGCTATTTTTAAAGGAATTAGTTTACAGTGAATCAGAAGCATGTGCAGTGTGAAAGGTGGATTTTGGTGAAATTAAGCTTGTTTCTCATGGACTATGGGTTGCATATTTTTGAGTTTAAGGGATGAAGGCTCACCAATCAAAAAACCAAGCTCATTATGTTGAGGCTGTATAGCATTATAGGCTGAGAAAGGGCAGTGGGTTTGATTGGGTTTGATCAGCGGGTTAGGTTATAGAAATTGGAATAGGCAAAATTCTGCCACTGTTGACAGCATCACCACCTCTATCAACTTAATCATTGTCGCCATCAAGATGGCTAGAGTCATCATTATAATCACTTTTCCATGGAGTGCGACCTGGACAATCTTATAAGACATTAGGCATAAACTCATATACTTGAATGGGATGGATTTGATTGCCCATAACTAGATGAACAATCTCATCAATATTTTGAGAACAACAAGTATTATAAGAATTGTAGCCTTTTTCAAAAGTAAGGAGAAATAAAGTTTCATCACCAATTTCCACAAAAGAACCCCAAATGTTATAGATTCAGTAAAATATGGTTCTGTTCCGAGCATGAAGGAAAATGCCTAAGATCATAAGCCAGCATCTTTTTGACCCCTTGCCAATATTAGGAAACCATTCTTCAATGGATTTGAACCTTTTAGAAAGCCAAACCCAATTGCAAACCTTTTTCTCTTCAAAAAACTTCCTATCTGTGAAAGATATTAGATATTGATATCCAAAGATACGTTTAACTGTCAAGCTCGAAACACCACTCTTCCTAATTTCAACCCTGATTGACTCAGCTTCTTGAAGATATTTGCTAACACCTACAATGCTATTTTCTAGCCAGAAGCATTTCATTTTCCGTATGCCCGTGATAAATTCTAAAAGAATCCTTAAGTGGGGGAAGATATGGCGAATTGGATTGACGTGAGTCACCTTGAAAACCTGTTAAGGCATTCAAATATGATTTGTTGTTCTAATTCAGGTTGATTTGGGGGTGAGGGTGGGGATGTGGAGATGCCAATAAAGTAGATTGAACTCCTCCACTGTTGATTTGATTGTTGGAGTGGTTAAAATTTGAACGATCAGAGTTACTGTGAATAGTATTTTAGGGCAAATGATTAAAATGCTTTTGATTCTGATTAGGTTTGTTTCTAGTTCAAGTGAGAGGATTTGATTGGGAAAAAATCGCCTTTCTTGTCTACTAAAGGGTTGTGTGTTCATTCTCACTCTGTTAACATTCTAGGGGCATGGGTTATCATGACTGTTGGGGTTTTGTGTGGTTCTTCTCTCCCAGTCGACATTTTGAGGACATGATGTGTTCCGATCAATAATTGAGTTAAGATTATAGTTGGTCAAAGAAATTGCAAGTCGTTGGTTGAAGAACCTTACTCTGTCAAGACCTTTGATAGATTGTTGTGCTTCACCCATAGAGCCAAAATGAACAAATCCATATTTCATTTCGTGATTCGATTGGTTTGGAGGAATATAAGATTTGATAACTAGACCATAGAACCTACAAATGGCGGATAGCCATTAATGGGTGATTCACGACGAGAGGTTGGTAAAATGAATGGCTACTAGTTGCTGTCGAGGGTTTAGAGACATCTTGGATTTGATCAGAGTCGAATGGCAATCGACTGCCGTTGAGGGTTTAAAGCCATCTTGGATTTGTTTCGAGATTGTAAACTCACCTTTGATAAACAAATTTAAAAATTTTCAAGTTTAAAATTTCATCACAAAATTTGTGTGTTCATATGTACACAAGGATTTTGGAAATTGGCATAAAGATTAAAGTAGAATAACATTATACAATATTTGTTTTAATTGTTAAGCTTAGGGAAGGAAGGATACAAATCTGATGTACTATCTTATAAAAGATGTCTTCTGATGTATTACTCTATTTAGATCTCTTATACTATTCAACATAACTAAAGATTAAAAATATATAACTTTAAAATATAAATCATTAGAAAATATACTTTCTATGTAACCTCAATTATTATTATTATTATTATTATTATTATTATTATTATTATTATGATGATGATGATGATGATGATGATGATGAGAGAAATATGTAACCTTGTTTAGAGACAACTTAGAGTTGATTTTTTTTTTTAATTTGCATCATGAACATGAAATAACTATTCTCTAAAATTATCTCAGGTAACCTCAATTATTATTATTATTATTATTATTATTATGAGAGAAATATGTAACCTTGTTTAGAGATAACTTAGAGTTGATTTTTTTTTTTTTAATTTGCATCATGAACATGAAATAACTATTCTCTAAAATTATCTCAGAGGGAATATAAACCAAAGACGTATTTCATTATAAATAATTTGTGGAATGAAACAATGAAGAGTAGTATCAACATGTTAGATATATTGTATAAACAATAAAAAGTTTTAGAACAAAAATATCCATAATTGAAAGTGAATTTGTGTGTAAAATTACTATTATTTTAATCTTCATTCGAATTTAGGGTTTAAATATAATAATCTTTAATTTTAAAATTTCTTCTACTTATTTTTCATCAACACAAATCGAATGTGTTTCTTATTTATCATAAACTTTTTTTAATAACTTCAATTTATCCATTTTTTTATTGGGGACAGAACTTCAATGTAACTTTTGTAGATGAATTCATGTTTTCCCTTTTCAATCAAATCTAATACTAATTTGAAAATAGAAATAACAACCAAAAAAACACTTTCAATATAATTTTCCTATCATTTATTTCATATTGTTTCCCTTTTATCTTCCTCCCTAATCCCTTCCTTTCTAGCTGGCAATAGCGTCTAGTTGTTGGCATGTTAACGGCCACATCCAAGTCTCCTGTAACATATCATGCTAGTAAGAGCATACGTTGAAAGTTAAAGCTTGCTATTGTCCTCACCACAAATATTCTACATATGCATGCAGTGATGGAACTAAGATTTCGTGCTTCGGATGAAAATAATTTCTATAAAACCGTCATATTAAAAATTTAATATTTGACAAAAATATAAAGTAACTTAAATGAAAAAAATTTATGTGAAAATTATATAAAAAACTCCAACAATGTGTTAAGTACAAAATAAAGATATTTTTTAACAACTATTGCATATTAAGACTGGGCATCTTTAATTAAACTCGACAATCTTTTATAGAGTTGAAGGCATCTATCACTGAATTAAAATCAAAATCACAAATTATTTTTTTTAATGAGAATGACCAATGAATTTTTAAGAAAATTATATGATATTCTATTACGAATATCATTTTTAATGAGTTTAATAATAGAAAATGTACAGTTTGATGTTACAATGGAAACTGGAAGAATCAAGACAAGTAAGATTAATTTAGCAATAAGGAAATAAACTTTTGATATTTCTTTCTTTGTCAACAATTGACATAGCTCAAAAGTATAGATACATTTTTTAAAACTTGATTATAAAGAATGTCAACTTTGAATAGATCCAATTGATAACTTAAATGTATTTTATCATGTCCAATATATTTATCAGGCTAACAATTATTTGCAAGGTTGCAAATACTTTCAACATCAAACTATTCAAAATAATTCTGAGCATCTAAAGATGTGCCAAGAGTAATCAACTCCATCACATTCTCATTAAATTCAAAATCCATTCTTGGAAGAGTAAGTTATTTTAAAATTATTGTAAAGGTGAAATTATAAAATTCCAAAAAAAAATGTTATAAAAATTTTAAAATTTTTTGGAGGGTGGGCGTGGGCCCTACTAGCCACGTCCTCCCCTCCACCTCTGAATTCACATGGTTCTCTACGATAGATGAACCAGCAATACTAGTGAGAAAAGAATAATATATATCTAATTAAGAAAAGATATATATCTTTTCTTTTAAAGGAAAGTGTTCTATCTTAAGAAAACATAAACTAGACATCCAATGTTCTGTGTTCAATATCTAAAGATGACTATTTTTTGAATTAATTAAGTAGAATAGGGAGTTGCAGTCTAGCTGGGTTGAAAAAGAGTTTTGTAGGAGTAACAATAGTTTCTGACAAGATATAATATCAGCTCCCAAAAGTAAAATGCAAGAGAATTAGTACCATGTATCTAAAATCAAATACAAATATTCTTTGTGTTTGCTAATCTTTGAACTGTACGATTGATGTTTCTAGAATCTCTATGAAATTTGACAACATTAACTATGGTTTTCTGACATGATTTTGATCACAACTGGAATCATTGTTGATAAATTAATAACAATGTCATGGATAAGCATTGAAGCCAGAGTGCAAAAGTGAAGAGGTGTAGGCTGGAGAAACAAAGGAAAAGAAGAGGGAAAAAAAGGGTTAAACTTAATTTAAAACATAAAAGATGAAATAGGACACCAACAGAAGGGTCGAGTAATCGAAAGGATGGTTATTTCGATTTAAGTGATCTCCATTGAAATCTTATTAATGGTCTTTTGTTGATATTAATCTCCAATACATCAACTTTTTAAGATATGATACATTTTGTTTTGATTTAAAAGCTTGATCAAATAATTTATTTCGGGTTTGAGCAACCTATGCACCCCGAATTCTGGTCAGAGAGGGAAAACCTATCTATTCGCATTTTCAGAAAAAGAATGAAACATGCATGGCGTGAATGACTCACATGAGGTCCAAACCAAACAGGCGGATACCCCAAAAAATGGCTTCAAGTTATGAAAAATATACATCTTTTTCAACTTGACCAATTTGGAACTTCTCTGAATCTCTTTATGACTTTGAAATGACATGCATGGGTGCACAAGCACTCACTGGTTCTGCTTGCCCATTGGTTGTGGAGCTCCTTTATGCTTCTCTTCTCTAAAAGAATCTCTCTGAAATGGTAACAAGTTCTTTTTAAACGTGCATGTGTAATTTTGGGAAGGTTCTAAGAGAACAGTAAGCATTTAAAAATTTCTTTAGGATCTTTTCATTTTCCTCATATGAAAAAGATGAGTTTCCATTACGAGGCCTATTACTATTCAGGCACAGGGTTTCAATATATTTTTCAGTGCATGTTTTACTTTTATGGTTTAAATAAGAGCTAGATGACAACTTGCATAGTGAGGACCCACTTCCAGCGATTGCTTATAATTCATTTCTGACTTTAGTATTGAAAAAAATCCCCTGTTGTATGAAACGTAAACTAGCCCAGA